ACACACACTGTCACGGTGTTGCTCCACCTCCTCCGCCGTGGATTCATCGTCTTCCCCGTCTGCTTTGCAACAACAACAACGTGCTTAATGTCCTCGAGATGTGGGAAGTAATTGTGGCTTGGAGGCAGGCAGCAAGACTAGATCGCTAATCCTGAATACTTGACCGGTTTGCTATAAAGGACTTGCCACTTGTCTCCACCCTCTTTCCCTAGAATTCTTCCTTCAACGCCTGTCGGTTAGTTTCCTTGGTGTCTACGTGGTACTGTGAACAGTGTTTTATGAAAAGCTTGTTGTAAATAGTGACTACTGTTTTTTTTGTATGTATCACCTTGGAACGAGATGTAAAGAGATGTCAATGATCAATAAAAGCGAATCATTTACCACATCATGACACTGGATTCTATTGTATAAAAAAACCTCGTTTTCAGGTATTGCAAATTGAGTACAGTCGTGTTATTTGAGTACATGAATGATTATTCTAGAAAACTTCAAGGTTTTCCTCTAAAATTTTGTAAGCATTCAACTGAGAAAATGAAAAATAAATGAAAAATAAATCTAAGTTTATCTAGATAGATATAAAAATGAAAAATGAGAGGAGCATAGAAGTTCAAACTGAAGTATAAGACAACAAATACAATTTTAATAATATTTGTTCGTTACTTATACAAAGTAGAGTGGTTGTTGGTTGAATTTGGAAATACAAATGTAGAGCAAAAATCATCAATAAAAGAACTGAACAGTTATTTTCACATCTCATAAATGCATATGAAAAAATTATAGTACATCATTTGAGCAAATATTAAAAATATAATTATACTCAGAAGCCTCAACTACTAATAAAAAGTACACACAAGCATAATATCAAATAAAAACATTGACTATTAATGACCAAAATATGAAACACTTTTAAAACAAACTTAGAATAAATTTAATTAAAGAAAGATAAATTTTTTGATAGATTCATTCACTCATTGGTTATATGCATACATGAATATATATATATATATATATTGTAGCACCTTCAAGAATACACTATAAATTTAAAGATGATAGAGAAGAATATAATAAAATTTACAATCAATCAAATTTTTCTGATAAATAAACATAAAAATTTATAAAAATTATATATATATATATATATATATATATTCTAATAGGTGTATAGAATACAAGCCTTTATTCAGTTTTGATCATGGTGGAGGAACTAAACTAAAAGAAAGATATGACCAGTGCTGAGTAGTCAATTTGCTATCTCAACATGTATCTGGATAGATTCTAAAAAACCATCTCTTTTGCCAATTTATTGTTATGCAATAAATTAGACAACTAAAATTTTTAATTATTTGATATTAAATATTATTTATTATATAAATCTTGAATATGTTGAATTAATATTATTCAAACGTTTATTTTTTTTCCTTTTACCAACAATTATGTCGTACTAAAAACAATGTCTTTATATTTGAGGCGACAAAACTAAAACAAGCTTAGCACAATCTCATTTCTTTCTATTTTATTGCGACTATTTTTTTAATTTATATTTATATCATTTGGTTTCAAATTTTTTAACCTTTGTGTAGGAATAATTCTTGAAAAACAAATTTATCGAAAATATTGGTTATATATCCTTGTATTTTAATATTAATTAAGTCTATTTAAAATGCATATATATATATATATATATATATATATATATATATTGTTAGTAACAATTTTTTTATGATATATCTTTGAATAAAAAAAATTATAGGAATAATATTAGGATTTTAGTTTTCTAAATAATAAAAATCTATGGCTAAGTTACAAAGATCTAATTAAATTTATAATTCAGTATATTATTGAGCATACATGTAATATATGATATAAATTTTTATTTTCCTTAAATATATCTAAACATATTTCTTAACTACAAATAAACCTAGGTAATAGTTGTTGCTAGAATGTGATAATTTATTTGTTTACACCCACTTAAGTTTATTTTAAATGTGTATTTTGTTATTTAATCTTGCCAAATAGTAAAACTAATTTTTTTATTTTTTATTTCAACTAGATTAAATTTAACTATCCAATTAAACTTTTTCCTCTATTTGAAGAACTAAGGTGATATTAAATACAAAATATAATCATTTTATTCTCAAGGATTTTTTGAAATTTTTTGAATTCTTATTTAGAAATTATTAATAAAATTTTAATTATTTCTATTATTTATTTGCATTTTATTTTTTAAAAATCAAAAAATATTTTTATATTAAAAAATTTATTTTTAAAAAATTAAAAAATATGAATTTTGATCTTGAAATAAACCTTATTATGTTTTATTTTTTATTAGATCCACTATGTTTAACCTAATTGCAATTGACTATTGTTAATATTTCTTTGCTTCAATTGCAATAAGATTTATTCACAAACATTACAATTGTTATTATTTTTGTATTATATTAGAAATTTCTATGTAATAAAATCCAATTGTTTATCAAATTTCAATTTCTGCTAAAATTCTTTTTATAATTCTTGTCATTTCTTAAAAATACAAGATGTCCAAGTTGTGGATTTTGCCATAACATAGTTCTAAACCTTGTCTAACTACATTTGGCTCTTGTAATTTGTGAGAAATAATAACTATATCTATGATATAAAATTCTAAGGTGAATATATCAAATATTTTAATTTAAACTTTTTTCTTTTTTCTTTTTTCTTTTTTTTTTCTCTTTGTTGTCAAAATTTTATGTTTAGATTGTTTAGATTTTTACAATTATTTGGATTAATAGGAAAAAAATCTAATAATTAGTTTCTTTCATTTGCATTCATGTTCTTACTCTTCAGCAATTTAGAGAGAAAAAAAAAAAAAAAAAAAAAAACAATTATAATGGTATTTCATGATATTATTTTCTATTTTCTATTTTCTAACATTAAATCCAATTTCAATCATTTATTAATTTCTTTTTTTTGTTATTATATAATATAATCAATTATTCTTTGTTGATTTGTATATACTACATTACTAAATATTTCTTGCAATTTTTTTTTATTAGTACATGATTATTCTTTGTTTGCTACTTAGTAGTTTAACTTCTCATATTATCATTTTAGTTTTGCTTGAAGTTAGCATCCTAGGTTTTCTCAACATATTGTTTATCTTCTTTTTCTTTTTCTTTTTCTTTTTTTCTCTACTGTGTTAGCCCCTCTTTAATTCTTCTATAATCTTTATGTAAAAATTTCCTTAAAAATTAAGACAAATGCTAAGTGGGCATCCTCCTTTTACCACATACACAACCTTCCCCCATCCATGCCATGTAACCTGGCAAAGACAGTATTATCATCATTATGTCATTACTTTATATTTCATAGCCTTGTCATCTCAAGTAGTCAAAGAATAGCTTGACAAAAAGTATCATAAAATTTTACAACTAATATTACAACAAAAATCCTTTGCATTTGAGTTATTGGCAAAAAAAGACAAATCAAAACAAAAAAAAAACAAACATTGTGGAGAGTGTGGATAAATTAGGCATAATAAGCACAATTATTTACAAGTATTGTGGAGATGGTAGGGAAGGGGGGTGGTTGTCCATGTAGTAAAAGGGAGGTATCTACTTCAAAGTTTCCATAGTTAATGTCACCATGTAATTATTTACTATACAATCACTTGCAAGGAAAAAATTAAATAATAGTAGAAGTTTATAATAATTAATTATTAGCTTTAATACTTTTTTACTGACACAACTTGTTACTTTGGAATTGTTGTAATAAGAATTTTGATTTTACAATACAATACAGGTTTCTTTTTTTCTTTTTCTTTTTCTTTTTTTATGGTAAGATTAATTTTGTCATCACTAAGGACATCTCTAGGACTTACTACCATTTGTTTTGCATCTCCAAGCTATTTTTTTACCGCTTAATTGGAAGTTATCTATACAGGCATCTTGATACCTTGGTACTTATATTTGCACAGTATCTGTTTTCTACATCACTTTATAAATCATAAATAATTTGTTGACTTGATACACTTGCTGTAGTAATGATGTTGCTAAAGAGTATTGATAAAGATTTGATTGCCTAGTTATGCCTTCAAATTCAAGCTACCATCTGCATGTGCTTGTCAAGTTGCTATCGTGAATTACACCACCACCTCGACCCATATTACATTATGCTACATGTTTATTTTAATTCTAAGCAACTATAATTAAGTAATATTTGGTAACTGTCCTGAATCTTTGAAATGGAAGAATAATTGTATGTATCTACTTATTTTGATGGACATAAAGGTCTTATCAAGGCTTCTTTGCAGCAGTAAAAGTTTCAGGAGATGTATCGTGCCAGCATTTGCGTAGGGAATAAGCGGTGTTATATATCATCAGAAAATAGCTCGTTACTTCGAGTCTGCCTACTGTCATCATGTCGATCCTACACAATTGCGAAGTAAAACAAAGATATGTACATCGGCTCTAATCGAGGTTACAGATTCTAGTAAAAAAGCGGTTTGTCATCATGTCAAGCTTGTGTTAGAAATCACCAAAGACTGCAGCCTAGCTGGCAGCGTGATTCATACTATCATCGAAAAACCGAAACCCTAAAGGAACTCGGAAAAATCCGGACACAAGGTTCAAACCCTAAATAATGACTCAAGACTCGACATTACCGCACACACCCGAGCACACGATTCGCAAAACCCCAGCTGCAATAAAACCTAATGGCATGTTACTGCAGACTACTTCTACACAAACCAAACCGAACTATTAATCATGTCACACCATCTTCGAAAGTGCACAAATCATTAGAATCGTGCTTGCTAGTTTGACCTGACATATTACCGAGAGCCGCCATCACAGACTACCTATACACAACCCTGAGAAGTGTATGGTCTCCCTTCAAACTCATTACAGTGTTGACAGAGACGTCATCCAAATGTGGAATAGAGAAAGATATTCGCAACATGCAGCTGAATGATACATAATCTCAATGACACGTTACACTAATTATCACCACATAAATTTGAAGACTGAAAGTAAGTGAAAAAATTGTATTCGTTAATTCCGTCAGTTCCGGCATAACATCGAACCAAATGAACATCTGCATTTCCACGAGGCACTAATCAGAGAACGCCGTACTTCCGCATTGCGACCCCGTAAATGAGAAGACGCTTAAGCCCTTCCGACGGCCCACACCCTAATGTGGCCATCAGTGTAACCACTGAAAAGAGTGCTCCCGTCAGCGCTCCAGTTCAAGCTGACGCAGTAAGGAATCTGGGCCTTCTTACTGACGAAAGTGAACTCGGGGCGCAACTCATCGACAATGCTCTTGCTCTCCAAGTCCCAGATCTTGATGCAGGATTGGGTGGCGGCACACAACCAGTATCTGTTGGGGCTAAAGCAAAGGGAGTGGATGATATCACCGGCGTCCAGTGAGTACAGCCTCTTGCCCTCAGACAAATCCCACAACATGGCGACTCCATCCTTACCTCCGCTGGCGCACAACGAACCATCAGGGGATACAGTTACTGTGTTGACATATCCGGTGTGGCCAACCAAGTTGGAGCGAATCTTGCAGTTGGTCAGGTTCCACACCTTGACAACCTTGTCCCACCCACCGGACACAATGATAGGGTTAGCAGTCACAGGGGAGAATCGGACGCAGCTCACCCACCCAGTGTGGGCATCGACGTCCTGGATGGTGTACTTGCACTCACCAAGAGTGTTCCACAGCTTGATTGTCTTGTCGCGGGATCCCGACACAATCTGTCTGTTATCAACGGAGAAAGCCACGCTGAGCACATCCTTGGTGTGACCGATGAACCGCCGGGTGGTAGTTCCGGTGTTCAAATCCCACAAACGCAAGGTCCCGTCCCACGACCCCGACAGGGCGAACTGTCCGTCGGAGGAGATCACCACATCCTGCACGAAGTGAGCGTGCCCGGTCAGCCTACGGCGGGCGACACCATAGTTGCCCTCCTCGCGGGTGAGGGTCCAGACGATGATGCTCTTGTCGCGAGACGACGAGAGGATGAGGTCAGGGTTGTCGAGAGGGCAGGCGATGGCGGTCACCCAGTTGGAATGACCCTTCAAAGTCCCGCGCAGCACTAAAGTCTCAGCCATTGGGGATGAGCAAGAGAGGAAGAAGACTAAGAAGAAAATAAAAAAAATAAAAAAAGAAGGAAGCAAACGAAACAAGTGTCAAATTCGGAGAACTAAGAGCTGAGGCAGGCGGCGCTGCACACAGACTTCCAAAGAAAAACACCTGCGTCGGCGTTCCTGAGGTTTGTAGTGCCCCCTCGCGAGCCCCAAACCCTAACTTAGGGTTTCAGCCCCACCGGGTCAGCATGTGCATGGGAACAGGGGAACCAGCAATTTTGTATGTTCTCTGCCTGAGGAAGGAGTTCACCATGAAGCAAATCTAAAGTAAAATGATCAGTACTCAAACATGTGATAAACCTGACTGACTAAATAATTCCTGAGCCCAAGTTCAACATCATGTACTGATAAACTCAACATGACTACTCAGCATGGTTTTGTTGTGGGTGTGCTTCTTACTTGCTCACTGGGCATTATGGTATTTTTAGCATGCATGTGCTATATTCACACAAAAGGGTTTTGTGAGTACATTGATTTTAGGAAGTATTCTCAAATGTCTTAAATAAGTGTTTAAGACACTTTAAGTATACATCCCTTGTTTGTTCCCTCAATGATTTTGATTTTGAGGTTTAATTGAGTGATGGGTTTTGGTACAGGATTAGACAACTTGTTGTAGTACTAGTTTACCTACCTATATTTTTCTCTAAACACCCCTAAAACCTTTCAGAAGCCAAACCAAAGTCTGTACCAAGTTTGGATCTCAAACTACTTTTTGGGTATCTGCACTCTTTTGAGTGAGAAAGTCCTCAAGAGATCACAAACCACAAAAAATCTTTAATTACCATGTGTTTTAGATCAAAGGGAACTTATCAAACTTTTACAATGGTTTGGGACCAACACACAATTCTACAGTGAGACCAAGTTAATCAAAATCATTGAGGGAAAGAACAACTCTATGATGATCCTCACCTCAACATTTCTTATGTAGGGGTCTCTTCTACTAATCCATAGATACATGCTCAAAAACTCTTTGAGAGTTAGTTTAATCCTCCAGTAGAAGTGTAGAATGGAACTTTACACATTGACCAACTTAGAATTTCTATTTTACCATATCTTATTTTTTGAAACAATAATTTGTTTAGGAAAAAGATAAGGAATAATTGAATATATATATATATATATATATTTAATTAAAAAATATTTTTACAACAAACTACCATAATTTAGACAATTTATACTATAATATTCAAATTATATACAATTGAATCATATATTAGTCTAAGTCACAATCAGATGTCACAGCTACTAGAGTGTAAATACGGTCAAAACCAAAGAATCAGGTTGCTTCATAATTGTTTTAGTTGCATTTGAATTGATTGGACATATCAAAACTAAGTTCCTTTGTCACAAAACTAAGTTCTCCCTGTAACTTGGAATTGTTGTTGACTTCATGACTTAAGCAACATATCAAAATGCTCAATGACATGTTGTAGTATTGCTCAAACAATTATCTTTCTCATCAATCATTTTTAAGAAAGGGGAAAGCCATGTGTGTGAACGACTTAGTTTGAGAGAGCGGGTGAGTGTGTGTGAGAGAAAGAGGGAGAGTGAGGGTTGTGTCGCGATCAGTGAAAGTGTGTTGCGTGAGGACGCGCTGAGACGGCGTCGCAGAGCGAGTGAGCGACAGTAAACGAGAGAGTGAGAGAGCGAGGGAGGGAGGGAGCGAGGGAGGGAGGGAGCGAGGGAGGAGAGGGAGTTCTAACGCCGCATTGACCTGGCAACCCCACAACGCCACAATCCCATGGCCATCGCTGCTCATGCTTCCGCGATGCTATGGCGATGGCGCCACTCCCCTCTGCACCGACGCTTCTCGCGTTGGCTGGGATTCAACGCCCTCATCACACTTGCCTGCACGCTGCTGCTTCTGCTTCACTTTCGTTCGCGTCCGGACCCGATCAATCCCCTTTTGCGCGGCGATTCTCGGCATTTTAAGGTGGCTCGGGGCACTGCTGATCAGACATGGAGGACGGCGAGCCGTGAGGTCATTTCCGACAGTGAGAACCCAGTTATGCACGATTCGGGAGTTGTGGTCCTTCCGAATGGCGTGCACAGTACGTGCTCCCGGGCCCTTTTATTGCCTTGATTTCTATGATCGTGTATCGCAATGTGTGTAGGAATTTGATTGTGCACTGGGTTTTTATGAGGACACTGTATGGCCATTGGATCACAAGCATTTACAGCGGTTCCTTATGTTCATCTGTTTTCTCAGTGCCGCGCCTAGGCTTTGGGACCGCAGGCTTGGGTGGGATGACTGAGAGGGCTACTTCCTGGGCTTTGCAAGCAGGTTACAGGTCTTTTCGTGTTCTCTTCTTCTCGTTTTGTGCTGCTTTTGCTGCTGCTTCTTCTTCTTCTGATTGATTTACACGGTTGCATTGTGGTATGAATGCACCGAGTCTTGCTCATGTGCTCTAACTGTGACGGTGGTCAGGATTGCAGGTTGCTTGACTCGGCGCAAGCGACAGAATGGTATAATGAGAAAGCAGTTGGCAAAGCAATACGCTCTTCGCATATTGCAAGAGACAAACTATTTATTGTTTCGAAGGTCTTCTGATGTCAATGTGATGAAGTGATAGCGTCTGGGTTTTTGCTATAGGTGTCATCCCTTTCTGCGCTCTAGTATCTAGCAGTTTCAATGTGCACCTATTTTTATTTTTATTTTTATTTTTTATGTATGTGTGTATATATGTATAAAAATTGGAAAGTCTTCACATTGGAAGATTTTAACTCATTCTTTTAAAATAGTGGCTAGGGAAACTGAGAAAAGCATTGTGTGGATGACATAACAGCTGCACCCTAGGCACTTGGGTTATGAGGTCACAAAGCAGCAATTCAGCACATCCTTACAGGATTTGGGCACCTCATACCTTGACCTCTTTTTACTTCACTATCCTCGCTGTTTTCCATCCATCTGCAGCAATGTCAAATCTGCTGGGTCATGGCAAGAAAGGTATGGCCAGATGTAATCACGCAATTCCTTGCTAATCGTTAGATGGTGTTGAGTCATTCTCGGATTAATTTACAATCTACTGTGGATTCACGAGTGTCTATTCATCAATCTGCTTTTACTTTCAACGTCCAATATTTAATTTGTGCATTCGCAGCTGGAAGGCTTTAGAGGAGCTACATGATGATCTCAAAATCAGGGCGATTGGTGTAAGCAATGTTCATTTCCATCACATCTGTATTGTGAATTTCAGATCAACAACACTTTAAGGAGGCTGGTATATGAACGCGTGAAACTGATTAGAGATCTTTTAGTATATTTTTCTAGTAGCATTATGAGTATACAATGTGCAATTTGCATGCTGAGTAACTTTACACTGTTGCAGGTTAGCAATTTCAACGAAGAGGAGCTTAGAGAGCTACTGGGTTCTGCAAGAATCAAACCCTCTGTAGTGCAAAGGTACATTATTACGAACATTGTAAATCTGATTTGCAAATTTTACTTCAAATCCTTTCTTTTGTATTTATTCTGAATAAAAGATTGTCAATGCATGTTGGGAAAAAGTCACTCAGCTCTCTCAGGGCATTGTAAATTATTTTTCCTTGAGGTTGAATTATTAACTCCAGTGGATTGTTGATATCTGTGTAGGAACTCTGATCCCTTCAGCGCCGATGTAGAAATACAGGTTGGTATCTGGCACTTGACATGGACAATTTGGAATTCACCTGGCTTTAGGGAGGCTGTCTTTCAAGTGTAAACCATATGGAACATGTGTGTTGGAGAGCAGAGATTAGGAGGAAAGGTCATAGATGTATTGTGTCTCATTCGTTGATGTGTTCAAACAGGCATTTTGTCAAAAAGAAGGGATACAATACATGGGTTACAGCAGTCTTGGTAGCCAGTGGCTGATGCGTGGCTATGCCATCAATCCGGTAACAGTTTGTTCCTGACGAAAAGGCCCTCTGCATTGCAGTGTTCCATTTGATGATTGATATTGTTGGATACCCGAGAGCATGCTTTTCAGGTTTTTGTATTTAGTGAGGAAAAGACAAAATGGACTATCAGGAATATTGTTGTAGATTCTCTTACTTAATCAAGTGACTTGTGATCTCTTCAGCAGTAGCTTTTAACGCCGTATTTCCGTATGTTTCTTCTACAGGTCCTCAACCATCCTATTATTCATAGCGTTGCTGTCGCGCAAGCTTGTACCTCTGCCCAGGTCAGGCTGTAACAACTTTGTTCATTAATACAATTTTAGAGCGCATATTTCCAGTTCTTTCTTTTTGACTTGCGAACCTAACTCGGTGCATCATCAAAGACCTTCAATGCTACTGTAAATGCTCTGCAAGATTCAGCAGTACCGGGTGTATCACCTCTGACTAGAACCCTGTATTGTAAAAAAATGGGGTTTGGGTACACAGGTGATACTGAGTTGGGCACTACTGAAAGGGCAAGTGGTAGTACCACGATCAAGTAACCAGCTCCGAATAATTGAGAATCTCAAGGCCCCGCAATGTAATATCAGTCGAACCCAAGTAGCCAAGATAGATGCCTTAGATGGTCACGTTCCACGCCCACCTTAAAGGGGCTAGCGGTGATGGTAGATTAGTGAAGAAGGTATGACGGGGCCGGTCCTGTTATAATAACGTATTTTGTGTAGCATTAGTATTAAAAATACACTTTTAAATGTTGTTTGTAAAGAGTTCAAGGAATATTTACATATTGGCCAGTTTTAATATTTCAATCCAATTTTCAGTTTACGACCACGACGTGATACCCAGCTTTCTATCCTCAATGTTGATTCCATGTATCAAGCGGACCCAAACTGCCCTGAGAATTAAGTGCATGTGAATGAGATAAAATTAGCAAACACCAGGAAGCAAGTAAAAATGTCCTCATAACTACAATCTTGTACTACTAGATGAATGGCCGCTTCAAATCTGCGCACTAGAAATTCAATTCCCCCAAGGGGCTTGTGTGTGTCCCACAATTAATCTTGAGACAATTTTTCAGAGCTACTCTTAGAAGTAGCATTGTTCTGTAAATTCCGACGTGCAACTCTTGAGTTCCTATACTCAAAACCAATGACGTCAGGGATATGTGAGCTATCTTTGATGCGCAGATACTGACATATGCTCGTATCCTCCAACCATGGAAACCAAGGGGAGACAATGATATCCATGAGAAAGAACCATCCGGAACCAAGCAGGAGACCTAAACTCCCCCCAGCAATAATTTGGGCAGTGGTATGATACCCTAAATAAACTCTAGAGTACATCACAGTTAGGGCAAACGGCCAAGGTAACAAAGCAACAAAGACTCGCCGGAATTCATCAGTGAAATGGAGCCTGCGAGTGACGAGAAGAGTGCAGTACATAGAGAAGAAGCACATGTACTGCGAATGACTTGAGGGCCAGCCGTTGGAATCGCACATCTCCAGGGCTTTACAAGTAAGTGGGCGCGCTTCATGGGCTAATTCCTTGATAATCTGGATGTCAAGCAACCACACAGCAGGAAGCAAATCAGTACAAAAGAAAGAAAAACAAGAACACACAAAAGCGTATGGAAAGTAGGAGCCTCAGAAACAATGAAAATGGACTTTGTTTGCCAACATTGACAGCAGAGAAAGAATGTACAGAGAAATTCTTGTCAAAATTAGACTGAATGAAGAACCACGTTATTGTAATTTCTCTATATAGCACAGATCGTTAATTGCAATAGTCTCTATATTTCCATATTTGACGAGGATGCCCCGTCTAGCAACATAGAAATAAATCTCGAACCTAACGTAAGCCTAGAACCATGAAGGAGTTGAATCAGTACGTAGGACTCGAATGTTTAATATCCTAACTCTACAGAGATATAATTTCCAGCCATTATAACCCCAAAAAGCCAGACATCCCTATTTTTGAAGTCTTCCGTCTACAGATTTTTCCAGATTGATATTCACAGAGTCGAAACGTTCCCCTTAAAGAGTCTTGTACACGGTCTACTACTTGATAACCAAATAATGGCGACACACCGCAAAGAAGCAGAGAGATGGAAAATGACTAGAAATGCTGCAGAGGGAGCGACACCATCATAGTTGCAGGAAGCTACAATTAATCCACAAACCTTTGTACCTGCAAATGAAGCGAGCGCAGAATCCTTAATGGCTATCAATCAGATGGATCTGCCCTAAAAATCAGCCTGACAGGTGAAAAGAAGAAGCGAGGGGAAGCAATGACCTGATTGATCACTTCGTTGACAATCAATCCCAAGCCAAAGAAAATGGCCTGCAGCTCCCGCCGGAAAATAAAATGCGACGTGAAGCCGCCCAGGCCGATGAACACGGGAAGCAAAGAGAACCACGACAGAGCATGGCCAAGGAGATCACCTTTCGCATACCTCACATGCGTCAAGGACACCGCCTTCAATGCTATCGACTCCGCTATGTCCTCCGAATCCAGATCCATCGCTCCAACTCCTCCAAAACCTCAGGTCTACCTCCCACCCACCACCCACAATCCAAAAGCCCTGCCAAAGACAATTCTTCCCCGTTCACAATGAACTCTCAGCTGACCTAGCGCAACTCCGCTACAATAGCTTGAGCTCGCACCAAAACATACAAGACTCACATTTCCATAGATGACCCGACAAAGATGATTCTCACGGTCGATGGGATCCCGATAACTCCGAAAGATTCTACCATTTTGCTTTCAGATTTGGAGATATGCAACAACGCATCCGGTGACCTCGCTGATTGCCGGACATCGGAAGCTCTGTCACAAGTAAAGACAACCCAGGAGAATAGGGCGGGAAGGAGTTGGTCCGCTGTGATCAGGTCCATGTCACGTGGACGGACGCCATTGGATGACCGCTAATCGAAACGAGGACATCGGCTCTAGGGAACGGCATCTCCCGAACTCATCCACCTCGGGGGCAGCTCCCGCAGACTTTCGACAGAATGGGCTAGTCGGAGACTCTATTTTTGTGGTGGAGACAGCAGTAACTCCACATCCTGCATTCAGAAACAGGAATGAAAGGGGGCGCCCAGGGACTTCGGTGATTCATGAAGGGGAATCCAGAGGCAATTTGGAGCATGCACCAATATTAACATGGTCTCATCAGAGCATTAGATCCTGGTTAATTTCGGCAGTTGATGGACAGACACTGGCTGTGAAAGATGTCTTATAGGGTTCGCATTTCACTGGAGTGGCGAAAACTTCTTGAGTAATGATAGGTATAACTTCTGCGCAGACCAGGACTCTTTATTGACAGGTACCCTGTAAAGAGTTAAACCTTTTTACACCATTTCGACGTTCCGCGAAGTACAACCATCTAGGGGATGAGTTACAGATGAAGGGCAAGGGAGACAAAGTAGAACGGGGAGCGGCCACACTCCCCTTCGCACAAAAACCCACCACAATACTTCATCAGCTTCACAACTACATCAAGTCCTTTTCCAATTTTCCCTTCTCTAATATGCACGGGTGATTCTACACGTGTGCGGAGGGGTCAATGGAACGTATGGCTACCGTGTCAATTTGTCTCAGTGTCGTTATATATACATATATACTTTTAAAAAAAAATCTTGATTTGCATCTGGATCATACTTAGCTTCAGTGTGTGCTATCCTCGTTGGTGTGTTTGTCGATTGTCCTGTTCGTTGATGAGATCATACTTCCTTTCTTCCCACCCTCCCCCAGTTGATAGTCAATCCTGATCTGTACAGTAATATTCTAAATCACATACGTGCAAATACGTCGGAGACTCTCCGTCGTTGCTCCGATCATTAGATGTAGGAGAGTCGCCACCACCAGCCATATTAGTGGTACTAAGTTAATGCCCGACGACTGGTGAATTTGCCGCACTTGCAAGCACTGGAGCAAGAGCTTACAATTTGCTCGTTACAACCGAAAAGGCGCACGTCATGGCAACTTGCGGCAATCATCAGCGTCGAGGGGAGCATTAGTTCAAGGAACTGGAAGCCCCATGGCGATAACTAAAGGTGCTATATCCCATGCCAGGCCGGGAGTAGGATGAAATAGTGGATTGGGTCTGGTGGTCGAAATTCCCAATTTCTGGAAACATCGATTCCAGTCCTTCATTACAGGAGGTGCCATTTGTGAACTGCATGGTAGACCGAAACGAGCTTTGAACCTCCTGGTCGGACGCTGATCGGCCCGGCGCGGGTGGCATGGGCTTCTCGACGATCCGAGGCCCGAAGTTGCTGTAAGAACGATGCGGGTGTTGAAACTGGGGCACGACGCTGCCGGCCATGGAGGATCGAATGTTCAGTGTTGGTCTCGGCGAGGAAGACCCCGCTTCAAGCTCTTGCTGGGTGTTGTACCTGAGGTTCTGGTTGCCAGTGTAGTCCATAAATGATTGTCCCTTCCATCCGCTTGCCATGTTCCCGGTATGCAGGTCGTGCACTGCAATACCTGAATCGCTCGACATCATTCCCCTTTGAAGAGTGCTAATGCTAGCGGGCAAGCTGCATCCGTCATCGGATGTGTTCTTTGCCAGCATGCTATTGATCATAGCCATATGCTGCGCCGATTCTGTCATGCTCACCGTATTGAGACCGGGGAGCATGTGGTTGGGATTGTCGATTTTGGGGAGAGATGCTAGCATCTTCTGAACGGAGGAAGTGTCGTGCTCCATGCCAGCTCGTTGCGCGTGCGTGCATTTCTCATATATGCGGCATAACACCCAATCATCCAACTGCACTCTCAAACTAGATGTCAGTCCACAGATCACCATTTACCTTGAATAGCATAGATGGATCCTAGAAACATGAGCGATTGGCATGATACGCAGAATCACTCGAGGTGAGCAATTGGAGATCGAGGAGTCATACATACCCTCAGCGAGCCGCGGCGGTGATGGCGTGCGGGGGGCGAGACACCTTCAGCAAGACGATACTCGTGCATGATCCAGTTTGTCTTCTCGCCCTTTGGGGCTTTGCCACGGTAGAACACCAGCGCCTTCTTGACTCCCACTTTGCTATGGCTATTAGTCATGAAAATGGGTTTATCTGTGCCCGTTGCCTTCCAATAGCCGCTTGCGGCGGCTCTGTTGGGCCTTGCGCCATTGGGGTACTTCCTGTCCCTTGGCGAAAAGAAATACCACTCTCTCTCCCCGAATAATGCCTTGTCTGCATTATCCCGGATGGGAAAACATCCACATTTAACTTTTCAGTGAGAATTCTCCCAGCGAGTCATCTATACGTGCGATTAAACTCATTGCATCATCAACCTGTCAGGGGTGTTAAAACTTCCAAACAGACAACAGCGAGTCACTCTAATTTTCTTGCTTTGGCCTCCATGCCATGCTCCTTTTAAATTAGGTGCACCATTCAGAATGGGAATGAAAAGATTTCCATGCGTTCAGACACGTAAATAAGTTGAACGAGGACCCTGAACAAGTTGTTGCACAATTTCTTCGCAAGTATCGGCATGATCCACATCGAGTATAATTCCAAGTCACGAGGCAGCAATTTACTAATCTGCAAAGTTGATGAATTACAGTAGAGGGGCAACTGGAGCCAGTACAGTGCGATTATGTAAACAGGTTATGGAAGAGTCGAAGAAGATTAAGTTCGGGAAAGCGTACCAGGCAGATCCCAAGGGTCGAACTTGTAGAGGTCCACTTCAGCAATGACAGGGATCAGAAATACATGCGAGTCTGCTTTGCGACGAAGGTAGTGCAGCACCAGCTCCTCGTCCGTTGGGTGGAACCGGAATCCTGGCGGTAATTGCAGTTGCGCTAGCGACCCTGTCGTTTCCATTGTAACCATGACTTTTACAATATGCTTCGACTTTGCAGATGAAACTCACCTAGAGTCTACTAACCCACTATTACCCAGCCCACACCAAGCACGCTTATGATTATTTTTTTCTCCAAATGAACACAAACCCTCTCGAGTGGATTTATTTCGACACTATCAATAAGTTATTGAACACCAAATGGTCTTATTGGAAAACTGACTAAAAATATGAGCTATATGGGGTGGTTTTGGCAAACCCCGGTCTGATTAGCCGACGGGGGCTTAGAGGAGTAGGAGAGGATTGTGGGGCAACTGAGCAGAATTTGTGGGACGGCAAGAAAGTACAACTTAGTGACCATCGATTCCAACGGTATCTGCATTTGTGTGACCGTGTCGGATGCGGCAGGCTTCTTGAATCGATTTCAATCTACAAGATTCACATATCCACTGGGTCTGCTTGTTCCCTCCGTCTCCTTCACCGCGGTCCAATTTAAGCGAGGTTTCTGTGAGTCTCGTGCTTACGTTGCTAATTTCTTTCTTAATCGGTACCGACTAGGTCCAGCCCTCTATACCTTGAATGACGGGGTCATGACGCCATGTCCACTCCCAGCTAAGAAATCTCCTAGTTTTCAGTAGAATATTGATATTTTATTGTTTGCGTGCCGAATTCCTGCTGCTCGGGTGTTTCGTATTTTACTACGGAGCATCCACAAAACCTCGCACACTGTTTGACAAGTGAAAGGAGGCTATCATGCACAAGGGATCGTCTATCTGCTGGTTTGAGGACTACAAAGTTCCATACGACGCCATGAGCGAACTGCTAATTTAGAACTCTGGGCCAATGAAAGCTCCAACCAAATAATCTCTACAATTACTGAGACGACCACAACTGAATGTTACCCAAGGATCACTCAAGCCCCCTCTCACAAACGAGTGTTATCTAACCAATAGTGATTACGATCAGGAACCTCAAACAGGAACCTCCGTACCACCAAATTCTAACCCCTCAGGCGACGAACTGATCGCGGACCGGGGAAAATCCAATTAAATAACAGGTCTCTGCGAAATATGGCCTATAACCGTTGATTCTCTCGATTACTTCAAGAAAGATTTCAGAAAACCTGTCTACCGGTTTGGAATGCTCCGGGGAAGAAAAGACATTACCACTAACACTAGGATCGACTAGAATCTAAACACCCTACACAGAATGCGTGCGCTGCATGCGGCCATCCAGAACTCAAAGCATTGTCAGTATTTATATCACTGGGTGTGTGGCAGCAGCAAGAAGTGTCACGCTATCAACCTCGCGCAGACGCACTCGCCTCCAGACTCTTGCACCAACTAATCCCTCAGTTGTGTGGAACTACGACCCAAGAAAGAATACATGGGAGAAGGCAACCATATATTGGAGAAATTTGGCGGCGGAGATAAGGCGGAACTGGGGCAGATAATCGATATGGGGCTGTGACGACGGTAGGTAGCCAGACAATCTGCGTATGACAGGCGGAGAATTAAAAATTTGCACCGAGAGTCGGAGGGGAGAAAAACATGGATTTAGTCTAGATGTGAGGAAAATCGTGTAGAGCCTGGAGACGATGTCGCCCGGGCAGGTTCAGGAAAGTCCAGGGGGACCCATTCGCATCCCCGCCCCCATGTGCATGCTCACTCTCACTCTCCCAGCTCTCATCACAAGCTTCCCTCTGCGTAACCCACTCCCACCAGTCTACAGATTTAACAGCTATTATGCTCTAATGAATCCATATGCCGCTGGGCCGGCTGATACATGATTGTAAAACCATGCGACTCTCACTTCCGGAATGTTTTATTTTTTATTTGGTTCTTAGACCGATTTCATCAGTTTGTTGCATCGCAAGTTTCACACGCAGAAACTGAAGGGAGGCTGTCGCTCTCACTGCGGGGTGAATTCCAGTGATGGTGTTGACCACCAGATCGTTCTCATGTTTTGACTGCAACATACTGCAGAGTGCGCAGGGGGTCATTTTGCTCGAAGATTTGGCCTGTAGACGTGGGTTTCTCGCACTGGAAGCTGGGACCACGAGAGTGATTCAGCTAATAAGAGCTTATCATCTTTAGTTCGTTTTCGACGAGCGAAATTATGAAGTAAGCAGCTCAAATACTGCCCGTCCAACTAGCATGTCAGACTGAGAGATATTCCCAGTCCCGGGCCAGAGCTGTACAATCGGTTTGGTGGATGTGCATGCAAGATTGATGAAGACAAGTGATCACTTTCATTCTCACAATAACATACTTGATATGGTAGTTTATGGCCAGCGCCTCGTCGATTCACCCATGTTGACCTCTGTCACAGCGCATGTGACCTAATCTAAAAGAAAAGTTTATTAAAGTTTAGAAAAGAAAATAAGAAACTCCACCCCGGTAAGTCGTATGAAAATACAGACGAAATTTTACTTCTTGGAAAAACTTTTACGTTGGCCTTGGTCAAAGCTCATAGAAAAGCTTTCCTATTTAATATATTTTAAAGTGCTTGTTCAATGCGGAGCTCTCAGGGTCGGTTGACCTCCAAAACCCCCAGAGAGGACTATGAATCCAGGAAGGTGCGACCATCGTGGACTGTTGGAATAAGGGAGATAACGTTAGCCCTGTGGCAGCAGAGGTCTAGGAAGCAGCCACGACGGTGAAGAAAACAGACACTCGGCCTTGGCCCTCTCACTGCAACCCCCACAAAAAGGCCTTGAAGATGTGACACCTCCCGTTCTCATCATGAATGAAGCTCCCTGTGTGTGTGTGTGTGTTGGAGTGAGAGTGAGGGAGTCTAACTTCGTGTCTCAATGCCTGGGATACATATCTTCATGATTGACAACCTGGCCTCCCCAAAAGGAACCTACTGCGGGTTACCAACTCTCGCCCCCCACTGCGTGTGAGCCAGAGCAAGCCGAGCCAAGAAAGAAAGTAGAAAAGAATGAAAGAGAACAAGCCTCGTGCTCAGAGGCAGACAGACAGTATGTGTGCTGGGGTCAAAGGAATATTCCAGAGCTTGTAGCATCCTGTTTTGGCTCATGGATAACGCAAGGCTGTTTGGCAAGGAGGGGGTGTTCATGCAGGGGGTGTGGGATGGATGCAATCCCCCCCCCCCTTTCCTCCCCAAGCAGGCAATGGAGAAGAGGAATCAAGGAAGAACCTGGTCTATGCTCATCCCCGCCTCCCTCTCTGCCTCCCTCCATCGCGCTCTCACTCCCCCACTCCCACTCCCAGCCACATCTGATTCCTGGGGTCCCACACCACCAGATCAGCACAGCACAGCCGACACTCCTCCTCCTCCTCAAAGGAAGGCAGGGCAGGCTGGCTGGCCAGGCTCCCGCAAGTCTGCCCCCCTCTCCTCCCCTCTCCCCCGCCCTCGCCTCTCTGCAATGGAATCCCAGTCACCTGGATAAGCTCCCTTCACGCAAAGCAGCAGCAGCAGCAGTCCATGGTGGACACACACACACGAAGAAAGAAAGGAAGGAAGATGAGGTACGCGAGGATGAACAGAGAGAATACTATATGATATGTGGGAGGATGAACAGCGAATTGGGGGGGGGGGTGGCGGTAGTGGCGAGGACGACCTAGGATGGATGATAATACAGAGGGAAAGAGGGAGGAGGGGGGTGCTCCCACGGAGTTACAAAGCTCTCTCCCACTCCCTCTCTCTCCATCTCTCTGTGTGTCTATGACTATGATGATGATTCCGCACTTGGTCTGGTGAGGCCAAGTCCTCCTCCTCACTCCCCTCTTAACAAGCCCAGCCAGCTAGGCAGACTAGGACTAGGGGCTGCCAGCTCATGAGGGGGGTCGAGGTGGAGGTGGGGTCGGTCATGAGGGAGGGAGAAGAGCGAGGTAGGAAGAAGAGCAGGAAGGAAGGAAAGGGGGGGGTGCCCTGCTTTATTGGTTCTGCCAGCTATGCATCCCCTCCCCTTCCAGCTGGCAGGAAGGCTCTGACGTGGATGGCCAGCGTCACTAACCCCCCTCATCTCACCTTCCCTTAATCCCTCCCTTTTATTCCTGCTTCTCTTTTTATCCCTCCCCCCACCTTTTGAGAGGTGCTGGACATCACATCCCCTTCACCCATAGCACTTCAACTATCACTCTCTCTTCAAATGTCATGATATACTATTATTCGTATTCTTACTATTATCCATGTGCCATCAAGTCCCATTTATTCTTATCTCTCTCTCTCTCTCTCTCTCTCTCTCTACATATATATATATATATATATATATATATAATTAGAGTTATTATAATGATTACAAGAAGAGTTCGATTAGATTTAATTTATTTAATTTATTTGTTTATTTATTTTTGGCACAAATGAAATGAGCATTCCATTGCAGGGGGACCATTACAAGATGTTTGGTCAAAGCAGGATTGAGGAATCCCAACCAGAACATGATGCAACGTTGGACCCTAATGAATTGATGCAGGAGATGAAGAAGAATTAGAATTTATGCTACAGAATAAATGTAACAATTACAATCAATCATATAAAACATATTAAGAGAGATGCAAGGTCAAAGCAAGAAAAATCATAAACCATAATAAGATAACATAAATTGGCATTTTGACACACTACAAATCATGGCAATCTCGAAACTTATCTTGTACAATGATTTTATTTTATTTTATTTTATTTTTGACAAGGAGGACATTTAGATCTTTTCAAAGCAACATTGGATGAATAATTGCATAAAAGGCCTTACATATTTGTTCTACACAAATCTAAATTGCATTGTTTAAGTAGATTATGAAATAGTAAAGTAAGAGGTGATTTACGAAAATATTTAATGGGATAGTTAGATTTGTAATAAAAAAAAAATCTTTCCATTTTTTCAAAATAATACTTTTTTCAACTATAACAAAAAAAATTACATTGCTTATATATTAAGTATCTTAAAAAGATCAGTTAATTTATTTTATTCTTTTTAAAAAAGCTCTAGAAACAACCAAAAATTACAATTAACCAACCTATGTGAATCCTTTATAGTAATATGCACAATAAAGAAATAGTCTTTTATATAATCCTTTTGCTACATCTAAAATACATTTTAAATCTTATATTCCTTTAAATTTTATTTAATAGTTAATTTCAAAATATATTGCATCAATTTATGGTTGTAGAAAAATCAATAGAAAAAATATTAATAAATTAGTTATTAGAGAGTTAAATAACTATGAGAATCTTGTTTTTAATATTTTTTTGAGGAGAAGAATAATTTTGAGATGTTGTAGTTTAAAATAAAATTAAAAAAAAAAAAAAAAAGAAAAAAAAAAATCTCATTTGAGAACAACTGCAAAAATTATAAATACATATATGAAGAAGTCTAATAAAGATTCAAAAATAAATATATAAATATTATTATTTTTTTCTTTAATAAGACAAATAAGAGATCAGAAAATGATTGTTTCCCTTTTAAAGTATATCATAGATACTAATCATATAAAAAGAAGGCTAATTTCTACAATCTTGTACAGATTATTATTTTTATTATTTTTATTTTATTATATAGAGTAGAGATATAAAACTAATATTTTTAATGACACATGTGATATATAAAATTAGAATCAACAATTCATAAATCTTGAAAACTCATTACTTCTTATTGTTAGATTTATTTATTTGTTTATTTTCTATACTCTCTATCTTAACATAATATTTTTGGTTCTAATAAATGATTAAACTTTATATTTAATTTTACCATTCTTTTAATTAATTTAATTTATTTTAAAATTTTAGTTTATTTTATGTATGTAACTTTTGATATTTAATTTATTGAGTTGAGATTTAGATTTTAATCTAGACATTTCCTTGTAATATCCTTCATCTAATATTTTTTTCTCTCATAGATACTTATTGCTTCAGAAGTTGTAGAATCACATGTTGTTTCTTTTGTAAATAATTACCTAAGAAGGATGTAGGAGTATATAATAAAACAAATATCTTAGAGCTTTTGTGAATTATATATATAAATATATATATTTATATGTATAATTCATATAAAAAATAATAATCATGATAAGTAGTAGAAAGGTGAAATATTTAAGATTTAATATTGAAAGAGAATATAAATAATAATGAATTGATGAATTATTTGAAGGTAAAGATATTTTTCTTATTTTACTACTTTAGCTACATTTTAACAGAATAAAATAAAATGAAAATGTTAAATTTTAAATTTCTGAAAAAAATACAAAGTATGTAAAATAATATTAGGCTCACAACCATGACATAGCTTTGAGAAGATCTAACATCAACTACAACAATTCATGATGACAATAGATTGAATCTAAAAGGGTATAGGTCACACATTACTTGAAGAAAAAAAGAAAATTGATTATAAATAGATATACAAAAATAAAGTGAGGCTTTCTAAATAATAAAATTTTGATAGAAGACCAAATTAAAGAACATATAATTAATGCAAAAATATTAAATTCAATAATTTATTCTCTTGTAACTAAGATAAATTATATTTATATGTTTTTACAATAATTACACTATATGATTTGGAATTAGAATAAATAAAGGTTTTTATTACATATTTACATATTAAAAGTTAGAAAAAAATGCTTTAAGTTGAAGACTTTGTCAGACCTATAAAAAACGAACCTTCCATGCGAGATGAAAAAATTACAATACAGATTGAAGCAAAGTTTCAAATAAAGAAATAATTAATTTTTTGCTTTTACAACAAAACAATGATATACATAGAGTAATTTTTCTTATTGTATTATTTTCAAATAATTAAAAAAGATAAGCTTGTTTAAATTTTAATATACTTATACA